ACTGAGCATGCGCGGCACGGGGGGGGGTGGAGGCTTCCCCTGGAGACGGCGCGAGGCAGAGCCCGGCGGACAGAGAGGAGCAGCAGAGCCCAGGCCCCGCCCCGCGCACGCGAGCCCACAACACATGCGTGCGCACACACACAGAGGTGAGCCCTCCCCCCCCATTGGGGTGAGGTCTAGACTAGTGGGTGGGCCACATTCACGCACAGGTTATCCCCAGGCTGATTGGGCCTACCTTGGGCAGCCGCTGGACCTGATGCCCCCTGAGGTCTCTTCCAACTCTATGATTCCACACACACACACACACACTCTCTCTGAAACAAAAAACACACACACACACTCTCTCTCTCTCTCTCTCTCTCTCTGAAACAAAATACACACACACACACTCTCTCTCTCTCTCTCTCTCTCTCTGAAACAAAATACAGGACTATGTAGCACTTTAAAGACTAACAAGATGGTTTATTAGGTGATGAGCTTTCGTGGGCCAGACCCACTTCCTCAGATCAAATAGTGGAAGAAAATAGTCACAGCCATATATACCAAAGGATACAATTAAAAAAAAGTGAACACATATGAAAAGGACAAATCACATTTCAGAACAGAAGGGGAATGTGGGGAGGGGGAGGGAGGAAGGTAAATGTCTGTGAGCTAATGGTATTACACACAAGGGTGAGCCCCAGACAGAAACACACACACACAGGAGCACACACACACGTACGTGAGCAGCACACACACACACACACACACACATGCACAGAGAGAGGCAGGGAAGAGCTTTGCACACACAGTGAATCCCAGAAATATGATCATATGTGAATTCACACAGGCTGGGGTGAGCAATACATTAGTACATGCATATGTGCACAGATACAGGTGAGCCCCAAACAAAGAAGGGTGAGCCCCCAACAAACACATGAACACACAGAGGTGTGCCTCAGACACAAGAACACATGCATTCATAGACCCATGCAGGTGGGTGAGCATTGTTGAGACAGAGACATATGAACACACACAGCTGTGCCCCTGACATACATGTGAACTTTGAGATGTTCAAAACCCAAAGGTTGAATCAGATAAAGTTCATGCTGACCTGGATTTCTGTAATTACCTAGGTTCTCGCCTGAGCAGCAGCAGGGAGTTGCATCTGGCCTGGGTATAACAAAAATGGGAGACAGAATAGGTACGACATAGGTTCCTTGCCAAAGGGACGAGACTTCAGTGTTTCCCTGGAAGGGAAGCTGCTTTTAGGATGTTGCATGGCAGCAAGACTGCTCTCCAGTGTGGCTGAAAGACTCTGGGATGGGTCATTCTTTTCTTGCCATGCCTAACTCCTGGGGGCATTTCACTAAACTGACATAAGGGACAGCATGAAAGCATGCGGAGGGGATGTTAAATATCGGTTAATTGAATAGTCGAGTAACCTCATGAATTCTTATCGGTTAGTTGCCTATTCCATAGTGTGAAAGTAGAAAGAATTATACTGTAAGAGAAAGATGAATTATGCTGTAATAATTGAATAAGTTGAAGCTGTTTGTCTCTGAACAGGAAGAAGAAAAGTATGTTAATGTTGTTTGTAGGTATGCAGATCAGAGTGCTAGCCAGATGGACCTGAGTTAATAGGAAAAGGAACATTAGGTGTTAGGGAGAAAGCAACTGAGATAACCAAGGAGATATAGACAGGAGATTGCTGTGTGCTTGATGTGGAAATGAAGATACTTGACTAGCCTCACACTAATCATGTGGGCTATGACTAGACTGGCATGATTTTCCGGAAATACTTTTAATGGAAAAGGTTTTCTGTTAAAAGTATTTCTGGAAAAGCGTGTCTAGATTGGTCCCGGAGTTATCGTTATAACGATGCACTTTTTCGCAAAAGCAGAAGCCTGGAACCATTTTGAAGAGGACAAAAGGCCACCAGACCTTTCCAGGGGCGGGGCTGGATCTCTGTTCAGACACGTGCTTAAAGGGGTCTCGCCGGATAGCCGTTTGTCTCGTGCTCCCGTGCGTTGGGACCTCTGGCAGGGACTGACACCCATAGCAGGTTTGGTGGTTGCCCTCTGACTTTTGGGGACACCACCCTTTTGCCCCCAACTGCTTTTTCCTGAGTTTTCTTTCTTCTGCCCTGCCCTGTCTGCCATGGACCCGTGGTTGGCCATGTGCCTGCTCTGGCCCCTGTTTGCCATGTCCGACTGCCTGTAGCTCATGCTGCAGGCCGGTGCCCTGGTGTTCCACGACCAGGAGGCAGAGGTCGCGTACGTCTCCCTCACCAGGGAGGCCCTGGCGTCCCTGTGGCATCAGTACCCCAGGGTGGTGAGGCCAGTCTGGAGATTGGACACCAGTACCAACTGGTGGGACCGGCTGGTCCTCGGGCAACGGGATGACCAGCAATGGCTCCGGAATTTCCGCATGCGAAAGCGGACCTTCCTGGAGCTGTGCCCCACCCGACTGCGTGAACCCATACCTGTCAACAAGAGGGTCACCATCACGCTACGGAAGTTGGCCACCCCGGACAGCTACCGCTCGGTGGCACAGCAATTCGGGGTGGGAAGATCAACCGTCGGTGTGATCGTCATGGAGGTAAGTCCCAGGGGGAAGTGGGGTGCGGGAAGGGTGCTGCACTCCATGCCCAGGGGCAGCCAAGACTCCAGGCTGGGTCGCCCAGGGGTTTGGGCCGTCCCTCCCTTGCACAGGCCTGCTGGTGGGGTGGAGGCCATGGGGCGAGGGGAGCCCTGGTGTGCGTGTGTGTGCATGCGTGCGTGCATGAGGACAGAGGGAATCTCGGAGGGGGGGGGCCAAGGGAGAGCACACTCACCCCTGCCGTATGTGATGTGTTCCCTTGTGTTTTTCTGCACCCTTCTGCAGGTTGTCCACGCCATCAATGACATCCTGCTCCCAAGAGTCATCCGCCTTCCTGGACATCTACAGGGGCTGGTCCGGCCGGGCACACGACGCCCGCATCATCCGCAACTCCAGACTCTTTCGCAGGCTGGAGGCAGGCACCTACTTCCCCTGGAGGGACGTGACTGTTGGGACTGTGCCTATACCCATCTGCGTCATCGGGGACGTGGCCTACCCCCTGCTGCCCTGGCTAATGTGGCCCTACACGGGGCAGCCGGACCAGAACCGGGCCCGGTTCAACAACCGCCTCAACCGGGTCCAAAATCCGGTGGAGCTCACCTTTGCACATTTGAAAGCCCGCTTCCGTTGTTTGCTCACCTGTCTTGAGATGGGTGAGCGGAATGCAACGGAGGTACTGGCCACATGCTGCGTGCTCCACAACATTGTGGAGCGCAGTGGGGAGGCCTTCCTCCCTGCATGGATGGCAGCCGAGGCACAGACGTTCGAACAGCCCCACATAGCTGCCGTCTGCCAGGCGCGCCAGGATGGGAGGACATGTTCGCCAGGATGGGCTTCCCCCCTGCATGGATGGCAGCCGAGGCACAGACGTTCGAACAGCCCCACATAGCTGCCGTCTGCCAGGCGCGCCAGGATGGGAGGACATGTTCGCCAGGATGGGAGGACATGTCTCCCCATACGACTCCCTCCCGTCCCCTCCCCTTCGCCCCACCCCCTCACTGCCCCC